ATTGGCACGAGAATCTTTAGGGTGTTTCTTTACTGCAACCAATCCCCATTAGCAAGCTGCAAACTTCATAATTGTCTCCAAAGTTCCAACTAACATTCAAATATGATTTCTGATAACATATTTAAAATAATGGTTGATCACAGGTTCAGGGGACATGCAAATAAACCCACAAGTACCCATATACATATATTCATAACACACAATACAACACGGTCAAGTCGCCATTAATATCTTGGGCTGCATGGCAAGCATATGAACTTCAAGGTTAAATTCGAGATTATTTAAAATTAGACAAAATCTCTTACCCATATGTCAGATTTTAGTTTTTAGTTTTTCTTCAGATAGGATTCTTTGTAAGGAAGGTAGGACCTTATCTAGAAAATGCAATTCTCTGTTTTGGTTTATTAGTCATCGAGAATCTTTCTCTGTGTATTCTTTCGTAACTCCTTGTTCTTCTGGAACCGGACTATACTCTACCAAAAACATACTTTTGTTCTTTTACTGGTAAGCGGATAGGGATCTATGCCATACCCCACCTCAAAAAAGTTGATATTAAATAAATAAAAAAAGGAAAAGGAAAAAGAAAAACATGTGAACACAAACAGACGAGCAAGCAGTTCTTACCACTTCAGCTGTCCGGGCATTTGTTATATCCCCTTGAACTTGAATAACACCTTCTATAGGAGCCATGGGCTGTAAGTCAATAGCCACAATGAGTGGGAAATCAACATCCCTGCAAAATTTTAATTCAGATCCTCTAGACCGTTAAATTTGTCAAAGTGATGAGGATGACATGATTAAGGTTTCTATGATATGAAACTATGAGATCACGAATGTGTATGATAGCGAAGAGAAGAAATGAAGAATACAAGAAAAAGCCATCAGATAAGTTAATAAGATGGCGCAGCTTCACTTCTATAGCAAGCGTTTCGCTTATGCAGATTTCCCTAAAGAAATAATTACTTCAAAAAATGGTTAAATTCACCAATGGCCACTCAATTTTACGTCATTATGGCCACCTAATTTGATTTTATTTCTTTATACTTAAGTGTGACAATGGCCACCGAATTTGATTTTATTTCACCATGACCACCCAACTTATTTTCATCATTTTTACTAATTTTAAAAAAGGTAAAACAGTAGCATTATATATATAAAATAAATTTTAAAAAAAATTATTTAAAAAAAACAAAATAAAAACTTATTTAAAAAAAGTTACTTAAAAAAAATAAAATAAAATAAAAACTTATTTTTTTAAAAAAAAGTTACTTTGACAAATAAAATAAAATAAAAAGTTATTTTAAAAAAAGTTCCTTAAAAAATAAAATAAAAACTTATTTTAAAAAACGTTACTTAGAAAAATAAAATAAAAACAAAACTTATTTTAAAATATAAAATAAAATAAAATAACTTTTTTTTTTCAAATTTATTATTATATATATATAATACAAAGTTACCGTTTTATCCCTTTCAAAATTAGTGAAAATGGTGAAAAGAAGTTGGGTGACTATGGTAAAATGTTATATGAAATTAGGTGACCATATTGAAACGTTATATGAAATTGGGTGGCCGTAACATTAAGTATAAAGTTCCATTAGTGGATTTAAACCCTTCAAAAAAAACTCAACTTCGAGAACAGCAACAGCAACATTATAATTACTAGCCTTGAACTCAAAGCTTATAGTTAAATCCTTTCCGATGACAAACACTTGAAATCAATGCAACACATAATACGGAGCTAAGAGCAGGGGAATAGTATCAGGAGAAAAGGTTCCGAGGATTGACTTCCTTTTCACATATTACTCAGTAACTGCATCATAAAACATAACAAGAAATTCCATGCAGCTTTAGAAAGTCTTTAATAAGATTATTTGTAATGAAGTCAATTTTCTGACACTTCTATTAAAGGAGTTTTTAGACAATATAATTACCAAATCCAGAATAAAAACTAATTGGACAAGACTTGGTGACTAATATGATGAGAGCTGGGATGCCATATTCACACTTGCATCAGTTATTTGTACTGAAGTTATTGGATAATCTGATAAAGACAACTGGGGATTCATGGAATTGTTAGAATTGAACATTGAGGAATAAATACGTAAAATGACACTCAAAGCAATGAAATTCAGAAATGGCATACTTAACATGGTAAAAATTGTTACTTGTTAAAAGAAAATATAGGTCTAACTACCAAAACATACTTGGGATCAGGTGACAGCTTTGCTGGAAGATAAAGCTTTCGACTCAAAACCTACATGGAATATATAAGATATAAAACTCAGATGCAATGCACGTGACTACCTTGAAGAGTTTTAAGGACGTGTAAGTAAATATGTAGAGGTAACAATGAATCCCGAAATGGCACGTACCTGACTCCAGCTACCAGGCGCTGCACATAAATCCACCACACGCTTTACTCCTGCAAAGTATTGGGGTTATGTTATCAAATGGCAGTAGAAAACTCTTCGCTGAATCATATCAATAACAGATAACTGCAGCCAAAAGGGAAACAACTGAAACTTTTTGCTCAAAATGTACTCAGATAATAACCTAAGAAATGGAGGAGCCTGTAAAAGAATTAGTACATATCAGCATACATATCACTTAACGAACCTTCAAATATGTTAAATTCCTCATCTATCTGAAGCAGTTTGAAGGCACTTCGAGCACGCCAGCCTTCCTCTTTCGCCTTCCTATAGTAGATATCCTGCAAAATCAATCAATCCATTTCAGTGATTTTGATTTAGTGACAGTGCAGATAAAAATAAAAGTTCTAGGCACGCAATTTGAGCAGAGTAAGGGTACCCTTTTATCTCTCGATGCTTTTCCCATAATTTGAGTTGAACTTCCACCGAATGAGATGAAACTTTCCAAGAAAATTAACGAAAGAAACAGGCTAACTCCGAGCTCGCGAGCGTAATCCTGAGACTGAAGTAAAATCTTGAGCCCCAGAACCTCTTCTAATGATCACTGTTTTACAAAATGAAGTATGGCAATGAATAACATCGCAAAGCAAATGAAAACTACATCAGAACTTAATATCCTAAAAGAGACATCACTGTAATATTCCCACACTTCAACAGAATGGCATTTTCGTTCAAAAGATGCACACTTTATTATAAGATCGTGACATTACTTTCTAACTCAACAATTACTTAAACACCTTGTGTGCATTCCTGCACCCTGCTCACTCTCTCACACACAGATATACATACATAAATACATGCATAGAGAGAGATTACATCACAACCCAAAGATACACGGGCTTGCACCGAAGCACACACTGGTTAGGAATTTGAGGGTTGGCAACTGTAATTTCTTGACTCTTTTTATTTTTTTTTTCTGTTGGCTACTTTCATAGTTTATTACTTGTATGTTAGGTACTGTTTGGCAACAGGGATTTTAAGCCAGATTTAATTATGTGAAAACTTTAAAAAGTAGTGCTTTTAAGTTTTCAATTCGAAAAATTCAAATATGATGGATTAAATTAAGTTTATTGATATTAATCTTAACAATTTTTTCCAGTAAAGCAACGTCTCTTGAATGGCCTTACCTAATGGCATATCTATTGAAGTATATTCTTCTCATTGATCAATCAAAACTCTTCTTCAATTGTACAAGCTTCTTCCAAAACATATGGCTTTCTGGATGTACATGACCAAGGGCAGAGCCATGACTTAACATTACAAGGGGCAAAAAATTGTAAAAAGTTATAGCATGAATAAAATTCATATATTACAAAAATAAAAGTCATAATATAACATTACCTGTTGAACCCGACGATATTTTATAGCATAAAATTCATCTATAATAGCTCTAAATATAAATTCATAGTAAATTCTTGTTCGGTGTAGAGTGTTGTACAATCAACAAGAAAACCATCATCCATTTTATTACGAATTCCGTTTCCANCAACAAGAAAACCATCATCCATTTTATTACGAATTCCGTTTCCACATATTTCCTTACGAAAAATGCTCGCTCCATAGTCACCGTTGACATGGGTAGTGTCAATACCATACTAATTAATATAATCAAAATAACGTAATTTTGATAATGCTGCAACTCAATTTTCAAACAATAAATATCTTGTTGTCTAAAATCTTGAGGATAAAAGTTCTCTGCAAACTTGCAAATATTATCCATGTTAAATAATTCAAAAGAATTTTTTGGATCCAAAACCACACTAGGAGAAATGAGTTATAGTGATATCTCATTAAAT